AATTTCTGTCAATCAGGAATATGTGTATGAGTTAGCTGGGTCCTCTGCTCAGGATCTTGCCAGGCTGAAATCAGAGTGTTAGCCAACACTACAATCTCTTTAGAGGCTAAGGCTCCTTTTGCAAGTTTGCTGGTTGTTGGTAGAATGTGGTTTCTTGAGTTGCAGGACTGAGGATTTCAAATCCTAGAGGCTGCTTGCTGTTCACTATGTTTGGAAGAAAACTTTTCCCCTTCCATCTTGGGTCCAGTGATGGTGGCCTGCAAATTAATTGACAATAGATGGATTAACAGGAGAAAAGACAAGGTTTATTTATACATGGATGGTGTGTATGCAGGAGTGCTCAGTGATGAGTAACTCACCTAATAACCAGGAGTAAAAGGCTTATGTACTTAACAAAAGGGTTAGGGTTAGGGTTTCAGTGGTAAAGTATGGAAGGTTCTATTGGAGTATTTGATGCTAATGGATGGGTGGATTCATACTTTCTGGTGCTAAAGGACAGTTTTTTCTCAACTAGGAAGCTCCCTGGGAGGGGAGTCAATAGCAATTATATTTTCGGGAGGTTCTGCTTAAGTTTGGATAATTTTTTTTTTCTATTGCTGCTGATTGTTCAGATGTTTTCAATTTAAAGTAATTTTTATACCACTTTGGTAAACTATTAATCCCTTCAACTGCAATATGATCCTCTCTACAATATTGCATTTTACTTCTTCAAGACCATCAGAAATCATCCATTGCTGCTTGTTGCCTCTTTTAAGACGTTAACTACTTAGGTCAGATCCACCCAGGATAATCTCTCCTTGGTTAACTCAAAGCCAACTGATTAGAGATCGTAATTATATCTTTTGAAAAATCTTATTTCTGTGTAATGTAACATAATTACAAGAATAATATCCCACCATAGTCCCCAAACTCAAGGGCAGGGGATTATACAGGCCATATACACCAGGAGACGGGAGTTTTGGGGGCCATCTTAGAATTGTTTGGAGTACAACAAATGATAAGATGAGAAGCTAAGTCCAGTACTACCAGAAACCATAAAAGTGAGATGGTCTCACGTATTCTACACTGCTAAGTTAATAAAATGGATGTTCTGTGCCAGTTGTTTTGACCAGATGACATCTAGGATTATCTTTAACAGTATGCAGAATGGAGTAATGCCAGTTGTGTATTTAAGAAGACTTTTTAAACCAACTTTCTTTTTTTTTTTTCATTTCAGCATATTATGGGGGTACAGATGTTTAGGTTACGTATGTTGCCCTTGCCCCGCCCCCAAGTCCGAGTTTCAAATATGTCCATTGTTTGGGTGGTGCACATTGCTAAACCAACTTTCTTTTTTTCATTCTTTTTTTCCTCTTATCTGATACAAAGTGTTCAAGCATAAAAAGTACATATAAAATTTCAATTAAATTAAAA